ATTCAGGCCGAACACCAACAAAGTCGCATCCATGAAAAGTTTCTTTCCACTCTGTGCACCTACTTCTCGATAGCTTGATTTGCGATGAGGAGCCACATCAAGCAAAGTAACGTAGTCCTACATTCGCAGCTTCAAGAGCGCTCTAAAGTATTGTAAAATCATACGTGCTGCTGTATGAAATTATCCTTAAATAAATCATACACAGTTTTTTTTCAAAATACCAGCCACATTCCGGGCACGATCCCCGAATTAGTTTAAAAATAGAAATGATATACTTCTGGCGATAGCTGTTTTGAAACACTTCTCGGCAAACGACGTAGAAACAACTCTACATCACCGACCGGCGAAAATCCACTCGATTCATATGATTTTTCTTTCAAATAATTCCATTTAGAGGCGCCGGTAGAAGTGAAGCACTTCGCTAAAGTATCTGCATCTTCATACCATCTGCTCTACGCCACGAAGAGGGCCCATAGGTTTCACAAAAACAGGTTTTTTGGTTTGATATTCTGAACAAGATTGGTCGGGCCGCTTTGATCTTGCTCTAACGAATATTATCAAAATAAAAGTCTAGACTGTTCCGATAAAAAAACGTCTCGCGCGGCTTGTTCACGTTTATACGCCACTGCGTCATTTTGATAAAACAAGTAGAAGCAGTATGCCAACCTCCGACTGTGGTGATCGGACCGCTACCATGCTACAAATACAATCCGGCACGAATCCTCTATCGCGAAGCGAAGTTTCGACCTCAAACTATTATCGCGAAGCGAAGTTTCGACCTCAAACGAGTCCTCTAGCGTGAAGCAAATCAAGGGGGAAAACGACTGGAACAAGCTTTGTTGACATACCTGCGACTCGACGCCTATCGGATGCAACGTCGGCCTCATTGCCGCCGCTGAGAAAATAAAGCACCGTTAGCTGCACCGGCGGGCCATCGTCGCCGTTCGCCGGAACAGTCCACGGCCGCAAGCGACATTGCGACGGACTGCGGCTGCGACTCTGGCTGCTACTCTGGCTGCTACTCTGGCTGCGACTCCGGCTGCGACTCTGGCTGCGGCCCCGCTTCCTTTCATTAAGGCTGCTGCATCAGTTGCAAATATCCCTGGAAGTCTGGCAACGTCAAAACTTGTGGTGAGCTGCCCTGTGGGATAAAAAAAAGACCTCAGCACTGAACTCGTCAGCACGCTACGCCGTGCATTCCAGGCCTCATGGTCATGGGGCATGCGCATGAAAAGCCTGCATGACAAAGTTTACAATCTTTCGCACCACATCCAGATCCAGGGATAAATATCTTGACGCGATGCATATGTCTAGCTGTCTGTATTCGACGCTTGTCGTACCATCATATCCAGAGTAGATGATAGTTTGTACTCGACGACCACCAGTCCGTTCCGGGGACGGGGACGCAGGCCGGGTCCACATTCCGAGATCTTGCTCCACCAAACGGAGCTTCTCGTCCACCAGCCGGCGCTTCTGCAACATCGCCCGCCTGAAACCACGCTCCGAAATCCGATCCGGGACTATCGCGTAAACCCTTCTAGAGTCAGGGAACAAAGGATTGATCCATCGACCTTGACAACCAACCCATTCCTCCGTCAAAAACGTCTCCTGGTGCCGAAGGAGGAGAAATTGCACATCAAGAAGCTGCACCACCACCATTCGCTTCGCTGGCTCGGAAAGGGTCTGGAGACGGTCTTTCAACTCCTGCGTCGTCTCCCGAAGGGAAGTGGGCAAAAACGTGTTCATCTCCAACTCGGATATGTCTTGTTGTAGGGCTTTCTGAAGGTCATCACCGATACTCTCCGCGTCCATAACGCGACGCACCGTGTTGAGGTGGAGAAGCCGCCTGGTGAACGTCAAATAAACCTGCCGCAAGCGAATGATATTGGCATTGCCCACAGCTTCCTCGTACCTCGACGGGACCCTCTTTTCTAGGGTTTCCGCACTCACGAAGGCCCGACTGACGTCCTTCCTATAATGCAAGAATTCCTTCCACGCGTCCGGGGTCTGGCAGGGAGGGGCAAGGCCTCTGGCCTTCTCACCACCAGATGCGAGCGCGTCGCCAAGGCCTGTCCTCCAAATGTCCCTGATGGACCTGTAATCTTCCAGCACCTGCTCACTCACAAGTTCACCTGCGAGGCGGTCCTCCAAAAAACGCAGTTCCTGATCGATTATAGAGCGCCTCTGCAACGTGTTCCGTGGCACCGTGTTCTGGACCACCCCTCCAACGGCAGCGGCCTCGTCCAAAAGCTTCGCCTCAAGCATCTCCTGGAGGTGAGACCGATCCTCTTTCAGAAGCTTCGCCCTCTCCCGCCGCACCTCAAACTCCACGTCCGTCTCCACTCGTCTGCCGGACCGCGTCTCCTTGTCTATGCGGGTATGAACCTCTTGAAGCCTCTGGTTCACAAGCAGATGATCCTTGACGAGCTGAGATGTCCACTCCTCCGCGGGAGCGCCGTCCTCCAGCAATTCTTGCAAAAGCAGGTGTCGAAATAAGGACGAATCTGTCGTCGAAGGTGAGGGTCTGAGAGGACGGTACTGCATCGGGAGGCCACTTAGGATCCCCTCTGTCTCGATAGCAGAAAAGCTTCGCAAGTGCAGATAGCGTGGTATTACTCGATCAAGCTCCTCCGGGGACAGAAGCTCCAGGTACCGCGTATGACCCGCTCAGGTGATACAATCTGCTCAGACATTACAACAAGTAGAAGCGCAGCTTTATTGTGATGCAAGCGGTGCGCGGCCACCTGGGTTCTTACTCTCAGAGGAATATTACGCAAGACAAGTTCTGGAGTCCCAAACCCCCGCACAAAAATTTTATTAATCTGGCGAAATTTGTCTTGCAGAAGGCGGAGGGCTCTGCGATTCTGTCATGCTCGTCAGGCAACACAAAATCCACATTCTATTGTAGCAGTTGAGATCATTGTAACACCTGAGCACGCTATACTCCGAAAACGCTACATCTTCAACGAAGCTAGGATCAGGCCACCGCGCCTCGTCCTCCTCCGGCCGCAGGGTAATCATCGCAGTGTCTCCATCAGCAGCTCCGCTACTAGCAGCTCCGCTTGCCAGACTTACCGCACCGGCCGACTGAGCGCAGCAAGCAAGAAGAGCAGCAGCACCGCCTGTAATCGACGCAACCCTTGCGGCGAGAAAACCTGCCGACGTGCCGCGCGCAGAGCCCTTCTTGGCTCTGTGTTTGTCTTTGTTCACCATCATTTTGGATAAATTAGAAATGACGTTTTTCCACCTGCGGGGGTAGAATGACTACAGAGAAGATGTATATACAACAAATTTATGGCGAAAAATCGAAATCTATTTGAAGGTCGTGACCTTGTTCTACAGAAAGAAAGAATGTTGATTTGTGGCTTGAAGAAAGATGATTCGAGACGAAAGTACAGCTATTTTTATGCGGTTTTAGTGCTGGTACAAAAGTGCTTAAAGTCGATAACGGTTAAATCCGAATCAGTGGCGTTTAGTTTTTTTAGATGATTTGCTTTTTGTGTACTAAATGAGCTCCTTATAATTCCACTCGTCCTGCTTCCAAAACAAACACAAACAAAAAAAAGCTAGCGACTGTTGCTGTCGATTGACCAATGCAAACGGTCTGCGGTTTTCCTGATCCTGATTATGCATACAAGGAGGAGCAGATTGGCCATATTTGTTCTGTGTTTGTCGGAAAATGATCTATCGATTGCTTCTTCAAGATCGCGTGAAAGAAGATCCTCGGTGATTACATAAAGAACTTTGATTTGTCTTGCGGTGAAGGTGAAGGAGCTTCGGTACTACAACGACGACCGGGCATTGTTCACACTTTTGTAGTGACGAATGATATGCTTCGTGCGCTTTTGCAGGTTTGTCTCGATCCTGAACAGTCTCCGCTGCCAAACGCGCAATTCTTGCGGTGCACGTGCAGGAGAGGACCGAGCATTGTGATTTCGCACAAAAACTTTCATTTGTTTTTCGGTGCACCAGGACCAGGGCCTTCCGTACTACAACGAGATAGACCGAGCATTGTTCACACTTGACTTTATTTGTGGCGAATGACGTATTAATTCAGGCCGAACACCAACAAAGTCGCATCCATGAAAAGTTTCTTTCCACTCTGTGCACCTACTTCTCGATAGCTTGATTTGCGATGAGGAGCCA